TGCAGCGAGTTTTTAAAATACTTTGGAACTATATATCTACCGAATACAGCCGTTATTGTCCTCAGTTCAAAGACCAATAAAGAACGTGAAGTTAGATGAAAAAGAACTTATTAGAGACTTCCCCTCTAAGTTAGAGCAAACCAGAAATTGAAAGAAGGATAGCCTGCACCAAGTAATGCAATCGCATACCTGGGCTGGATGCCAGAGAACTGAGTTATCAGATTAAAAAAGATTTCGAGATCTGAACCAGCTTCATTTACACTAAAGGGTTTGAAGTAAAAATATCAGCGATTTCTTTTTTTTTATATAAACTATGTTATAGTGACTAGATCAAAATAAAGAAAAAAAAAAACGATCGAGTGTTGTGTCAGGTGATACAAAAGTATTTATCAAATTTATTCGTAAGAAAGATTTGTGCAAGAATCCTTTATGCCAGTCCAGTGACCCCCCCCCCTCTCTTTGCCCTTTCCCTAGCGCCCACGCCACCCACTCGCTGGCCCCGCCCACAATCTCACTCGCCCACCCCTTTCTTTTAAAGACTTTGGTGGTGGATTTGTTTACATTTCTTATGCCTTACTTACCTAAACAAGACTATTATAATTCTTATTTCCTTTTTTTCTTCTTCCAATTTTGGCCGTTAGTAATTTTATCTTTCTTGTCTTCTGTCTCTTATTCTATCCACTTGTTTTATTGTCTTGACATTAGAATTTATCTTATTTTTTAATCTTTTATTTATTCCTTTATTTATCCATCTATCTATTTTTTATTTAGCTACTTATTCACTTTCTTTATTTTTGCTTTTGCGTTAATTCAACTTTTTCTTCTGTTTCTTTATTTTATCACTTTTCTATCATCCACTTCTTCGTTTTGCGTTCTTGATAGATAATGGCGATCGTTTCTCTCTCTCTCTTTTTTTTTTTAGAAGACTATTCTTTTCCTTCTCTCATTTCTTCATCGCTTTACACTCTCATACCCCCTTTTTCCCCTTTTTTTTCGGCTTGTCTTCCATCTTCCTCATTGACCAGTCATGTTCTCCCAAATAACATTTTTCCTTCTCTTCTATTCTATATCTATCTATCTATCCATCTATCTATCTATCTATCTATCTGTCTATCTATCTATCTATCTATCTATCTATCTATCTATCTATCTATCTACCTATCTATCTATCTATCTATCTATCTATCTATCTATCTATCCATCTTTCTATCTATCTATCAATCTATATATATATATCCATCTATCCGTCTATCTATCTATCTATCTATCTATCTATCTATCTATAAGTATATATATATATATATATATATATATATATATATATCCATCTATCCATCTATATCCACATACATAATTCTCCCAAATAGCATTCCCCTTTCTCCCACCCCCCTCCCGTCCTTTCACCTCACGGGCATCAGATAGCGGATTCTGCACAAACGGAGGATGCTGAAACGGCACAGAAGTCTGTACTGCAGAAACTCGATTCGGTAGTTTTGTTTGATCAGGCGTCAAGGCATTGTTTTAGGGGGGGAGGGGGTCCTTTTACACGAATTTTGAATGTGTTTGAATGACTTTGTGTGCTTGTGGATTTTTTTTTTGGGGGTGGGGGTGGGGCGGAGGGAGGGGTACATGTGCTTTCGTGGGATGTTGAGGAAGCTGTTACTGCTGGATTTTTGTTATTTATCTTCGTATGCGCTACTCTCTTCTTACTAACACCTGTTTCGTTCAAAGTGATTACCTAATTATCCACCTAGGCACTCTTCTTTCTGTCTTTTTACCTGTCTGTGTATAAGCATGTGTATATTTATGTGCATATTCATGTGTGTGTGTGTGTATGTGTGTGTGTGTGTGTGTGTGTGTGTGTGTGTGTGTGTGTGTGTGTGTGTGTGTGTGTGTGTGTGTGTGTGTATATGTATATATATATATATATATATATATATATATATATATATATATATATATATATATATATATATATAAACTGGCCTTTAGAACGTATTGCTTCCCTCACCCTTGACATGGCCATAAAATAAGGACATCAATCAGCGTCTCCCTCAGCAAATTCCGCTTCAAAATGCTGAATGAGAAGAAAGTATTTTCGTGGCCGCAAGTGAGACAAATTCGTATTCATGCGATGCACAGACTCAGTTCATCTTGAGAATTTCAGATTAACGCAAGGATTATTTTAAAAATTTTCCTTCTTCCAGCTCTACTTTTATTGATTTTGTAGTAGATGAATTTCCTTCGGCGAGTGATATGTTCGTAAACATGTCACTGGCGTAGGAATAGGTGAACTTCCTTTTGTTATTAGTGTGGTGGTTACAAGTTGCTAGTGGCATTGTGGTATGTCAGCTTCCAGTTACAACTTCTACAGTGGCAATTCATTGTATATTCTTTACATTCGCGCAATATTCACATGCGGGAAGTGAAATCTTTTCGGAGAACATTGTGAGAACATTAAAGTGTTTGTACCACGCAGCACCTGGCAGCCAGTGTGTCT